CGGAGTGTTAAACTACTTAAATAATGTTCTCGATTTCTCTTTCACTTAATTTCTATGAAGTACTATGAAGTTCTCTAAACTTCTCAGAGTACTGCTGAGAAAAACCAGGGAGCTAATGAAAAAAATATGAAGCTAGCAAATTTTTTGAGAGCTTCAACGAACTACAAATAGGTTCAGCGAATATCGAAGACCTCAAAAATGTTTAAAAGAGAATCTGCGAACTTCCGATTTTGCAGTGGTTCAGAGAGCTTCAGAGATGTTATACGAGCTCCGACAAGTGCATACATATTAATTGTTGTTCAGGGAACTGATAACTTCGTTGAAGTTCTGAGAAGTTTTAGAGGTTTCAAATACTTAAATTAAATGCTTTGGAAGAGTTCGCGTTTGGCTTTCAACGATAGCAGTTCAGCTCGTGCTGTGCTCTGTGTGCACATTTTTCTTCCCTTGCTTGCTGCGTGCTGGCGTTCCGCCTCCCGGACGAAAGGTGCTTGTCGAATGTTTTCGTCGTTGTGTTTGTGCGTTGAGGTTGTGTTTCAGAAATGCAATCGAAGTGTGCCGTGGCCGCTAATGGACGCGTTTGTTTTCGGTCACTGGAGTTGTCGGTTTTGATTTCGGCGCTGATTGCGAGCTGATTCGGCCGGTGAGGAGCTCTGGCGCTACGTCTTACATACTGTTTACTGGCGAACTGAAGCCGTTGTGACGCGAGTGATTGGCGATGAAAAGTGAACGCAGTTCTTTTTTTTCTCTGCTGAGGTTCCTCTAGATGGAGCAGCTAGAGTGTGTTTTGTGGTTGATGGGGGCTTCCGCTGCTTTTTTAACACCGCTTAAAGAAGTAGCGACAGCATATCTATGGGAGCTCTTTGAAATCACCGTGATGTCATGGATTCCTTTGCAACATCGAATGAAATCTTTCCAAGAGGTTGGTCACTAGGCACAGTGTGCCGAAAACAGATTCGGTACAATATGGGCACCCATGGTCAGAAATTTTCATGGCGTTTAAACAAAACTAGCAACACTGCTATATTACTATCATTGTTTACACTCTGGATGACTCGTAGAATCAAAAACGTGTATCAAACAACTGAATTGAATTCTTTCAGAAATATTTTCGCATTAAACCCAAGATCAAAATATAAACAGTATTCTTCGTTTTTTAATCGTGAAAAAGAATTTGATTATATATTGACTGGATAATAAAACTAAAGTGAGCTGGAAAAACCGAGTGAGGTTGAGGAAGGAGGTATATGAGTGGTTAGTTAAAACCTGAGTCGTGAACGAGGGGGGCGACTCTATCTAAGATGCAGGAAATATTTTGCTTTGCTGTTGTGAGATGCACTCGCGCTTGATAGATAGAAACACGATTGATTATTATTTTTAAAATTTCCTGCAAAAAGGTGGAGAGCGATGCGAGTAGATGGGTTTAGATGCAAGAGATGAAAAAAGATTTTTCGTAGATTGATTCGCTAGTGTGAGATTTTTCGACCATTTAAAATCGAGATTTAGATGTGTCACACCCCTCGGTCGTGAAGCATAATGTTCCGGATAGAAAGGGATTACTCTGGTAGTGGCTGATACCATTGGTGTTGGCCAGCGTTATATGTTTGTCGAGGCAGATATAGCAGGTATCTCCACGATGATGATCGCAGATCACAATGCTGGAGCAAGGCTTTCCGCAAAGATGCTTCAGGAGCAAACGTTTAATTTGATTTGGTAGGGGTACAATCCGATCAGTCGATCACTTTTCCCGGGGCATCTTTGGCTATGGATTTAGCACAAACGAAATTTATGATTGTAGGAGCTATTCAAACTTCCCACAAAATCGCTTTGCATCATTCTCTACGCATTTCCTCGAACTCGAAACCAACAATGTGGTAGTGTCCAATCATTTCACGATCTCGTGACCCGGCTCCCTGGCAGCGGTCTCCCTTACCGAGATTTTCACGTTGTTATTCTACTGTTTTCTTCCGTAGTCCTTATCAATTCCACTAAAGCTCGATTCAAGGTAAATCTGGACGCACGGTTTAATACACCAACGCGCCCCTGGTGGTTGGAACAAAAAACGTTTGACAGGCATTTGTTGATGTTTCATTGACGAAGAAATTGGTGAAAAGTTTTTCTCGATTGATCGACGCATCCCGAAATTACGGATCATGGAACTTGAGAAAAGAAAATAAAATGTGCCCAAACATCTAGAGAACCCTTCGTGGTCTGCCTCAAAAATAGCATAAGTGTTAAAATTCCCAAAGTCAACGCTGTGTCTTGTAATCAAAAGTTACAAGGATACTCTGAGTGTGGATAGAGCACAGCGCATCTATCATAAAAATGGCACTAGGGACAAAGAGCTGAGGAGAAAGGTGCTGAGGTACGTGAAAAGCAACCCAGGTGTCTCCATACGTGATTTGGCAAAGAAATACGATTCCAACTTTTCCACCGTGCGTAACATCCTTTCAAGAGAAAGATATAAGTCTTTTTGTGCCAGTAAACATCCGAATCGCTCCCTGAAAGAAAATTTAGTGGCCAAAAAGTGAGCACGATTACTATACGAACGAGTTTTGACGAAATTTGATGGCTGTATTTTAATGGATGACGAAACATATGTTAAAATGGATTATAAACAAATCCCCGGACGAAAATTTTACTGAGCAACTGGTCGTGGGGATGTCCCTTCCAGGTATAAATTTGTTTTTGCTGATAAGTTTGCTCGAAAACTAATGATTTGGCAAGGAATCTGCAGTTGTGGCCTTAAAACCAAGGTTTTCATCACATCTCATACAATGACGTCGAAGGTTTACATTAAAGAGTGTCTGAAAAAGCGGATTTTACCCTTCATTCGGCAGCACAAGACCAACGTTATGTTTTGGCCGGATCTAGCCAGCTGCCACTACTCTAAGGAGGTACTAGAATGGTATGCTGCAAACAATGTTAATTTCGTCGCCAAAGAGATTAATTCTCCGAATTGCCCTGAGTTCAGACCGATCGAAAAATATTGAGCAATTGTCAAGCGAAAACTTCGAGAATGCGGTAAAGTGACAAATGCACAACAAATGCGTTTAAAGTGGAATAAGTTCGCCGGTACAGTGTCACCAGCGACTGTGCAGATCATGATGGCATCGATCACAAGTAAAGTGCGACAGTTCGAAAAATAACTTATTATATATCGTTTGAAAGCTGAATAAATACCCTTTTGTTTGACGTTTTGATCAACCGTGTATGTTGTTTAATTCTTGAGTTATGATCACTTGAATGCGTCCAAATTTACTTTTAATCGGGCTTTAGCAAGCAGTCGAAATTGAAGCAAAGTTTCGTAGCAATTCCAGTCTCTAGCTGCTTCGAATCCGTTTCAAAACATTCGAACTGGCAGAAATACCGGGTTGCCAAGCATACCTAAATTTACATTATTCACTAAAAAATACAGCCGGCTCAATGACCGGCACAGCTGCGACACACTTGCGACACACTGCGAAAAAATGCCACCTATTAAGTGTGTCGAGTGACTTACCCCTTTATTTTTCTTTTAACTTTCAGGGGGCACCTGCGAAATGGATGGGGAGAGTGGAAATGCTAACTCCCTGTCTTTAACATTTCGTGAAAAGCGGGCGGGCTCTTCTTCCCACTTATTGGGACATTCTCATGTTGTATGGCCTGTTTTTTGACCGGTGGTATGATCCTGTTGTTGGAAGGAGATTCTCGTTAATCCCGTGGATGCACGTGGGCGATGTTGCCTACGGATTCACCCAAACCGTTTTTGGCCCTTCATACAATGGCAGGTTGAGTACAATTAGAGGTTATTAAACTTGATCGAACAGCGAGGATAGTCCACAGCCTACCGACAGTTTTCTTGCTACAGTGAGTGGTAGTTCCATATCATCATCATCATCATCATATCATCACCAAATACTTAAATGCTTTGGAAACGTTCTGAAATTGGACCTTTGAGAGATTCCATCAAATACTGCGATCTTAAAGAGCTTTTAATGATTTCAGTAGTATGTATGGTAGAAGTCATTGTTTACAAAAGAAATAATGTCTATTTGAAAATTTGTCCTTGTAATGATCGGAATGAAATCTTCAAATAATTAAAATTGAAACTTAATTGTGGCTCTAATCTGCACCAAATTTGTCTCTCAGAACAAATCCGCAGATAAGTTTGTGATGATTCAAAGCGATTAATAAATGATCGAAGACGTTTATTACGGAAAATATAATACTCTTTACATGCGGTTGCACGTATGACTAAAGAAGTTTTACGAATGATCTCCCGTCATTTCTGCATCTCATTCCTTGCATCCCACAAACTTTTCAATGACTCAGCTCGTACTCGCTTGAAGTTGCTCATCTTACTCGTGATTTTTTGTCAACAAATAGATGTCAACCTTCTTCGAGTTGCTTGCCTGAATGAACATCCATTTGAGCCGATTCATCATTTTCTTCATATCATACGTACGTAATCATATAAAAACCAAGTCATTTCGAGCTGGTAGAACTTGTTCGCACAAAATATTGCGAGTTGTTTCTTCCAGCTCGGAGTCACTCGATTTAATTGGCTAAATGAACACCAGTACAAGCATCTCGGAGTAGCTCGGAATCGGCTGAATGAATGAATCGCAAGTTGCGATCTGTTTCGAGCTTTCATTGATCAAAGCAGCTCCCTGTTCTCCACTGCTCTTTCAATTCGTTCGATAGATTTAGGATTTACGGAATAATTTTAAAGTAAGTACAGGGCTGTTTCTAAACTAAGTAGAACATTTTTGAGAGATTTTAGACCCTCCTCTCCCACGTAAACAATCCGCAAACAAACCGTAGACACTCGCCAACAATTTTAGAGACTGTCCACAAACCGCGAGGGCAGTTTTTGATAGGTTTCAGACTCAGACAGTACTCTGCGAATACCTACACTGGTACCTATACAACCCTACATCAATCCAGCTAGCACATGAACTTTCTCATACTTTCCATACGTGACAAACAACACGGAACCGCCTTGGCTAAATAAACACATTTAATTCATACATCTTAATCTGCACACAGGAATATTACCTGAAACTTACCTGACAGCAAACCTTACCGACCACATTTCCGCGGTTACACAATCCGTACCCCGGCGGTGGCCCGTTTGTTGATCTGAATTTTCTCCTGCTGCTTCTTCTCCTCCTTGAACGCCTCGGTGTTGGCCTTCCGTTCTATCCTCCGCTCGTTACGGTAATCCTTCAGCAGTTTCTTACGTTCCCGCTTCTCCTCGGGCGTTTCATCCTTGGGCCGAATCGACAGGACACTCAACGTGGAAATTACACTTCCGTCACACAGCGACTTTGGTCCACCGGGTTTTGATGCGCTGCGAGAAGGATAAAAAAGTACGATTTAATACATTCAGTTTAACAAAATCATCACACAATCACAATTACCTTCCCTCCTGTTCCAGCTTGCCTAACGACTTCATCGTAAGCTTACTGCCGTCCGCTCCGAGGACATTCATCGGAAGTCCGGTCTTCGGGTTGATGCTAATTTTCGCTGCAGCTTTGTGCTTCTTCGGCTCTTCGATCAGTTTGGGATGATTGTAGCAGTTGCTGTAAGTGGACAGGATGCTCTCGCAGTCCCACTTCTTTTGAGTTTCGTCTTCCACTTCCAATTCGACCATTTCCTCCTCATCCGACGAGACTTCCTGCAGTTTTAGGATTCTGTGGAGGTGGAAGGTATTTGAGTTAGCGTTCTGCCGCATCGGATAGTAAGGCAGCTATGGCGTCGTTCCCCTGTTCCCGTGCAAGATCGAGTGCGGTTCTACCGCGGTCATCGAGCAACGAGCAATCGAAGCTGAACCGATCGAGAAGAAAATGAACCATGAAAAAACGGTTTTCGTAGGTAAATTTGTGTAAAAAAGATGCTTTGAAAAGATCAAATCTGAACGAGCGCACGGTTTCGGGGTTCGCTCCACGTACGAGCAAATATATAGCCAGGGCAGTGAATTCCTGCTCTACAGCTATCACCAAGGCCGTTCGGTTGAACTCGTCGGTGATCTCCATGTCGCAATTGGCCTCGATCAAGTGATCGCAAATTTCCAAGGCATTTCTACCGACGGCAGTGTGTAGTGCCGTGAATCCACCGCGTGAACGGGCACCTAGATCGGCACCTTTAGCGATCAGGTAATCCACCGTGAATAAATCTCCATCGATAATGGCGTACATGAGGAGAGTCCTGTTGTGGACGTCTCGGGCTTCGTTCAGCAACGCACCGTTACGATCCAGCAGTATTCGGACGATATCGTAGGCCTTGTAGTAGCCCGCCAGTAGAATTTGAAAGGATTTCACTTCGGCTCCCTTTGACAGAAGGTAATTGACTTGTCGGACGTTGTGTTGCCCAATTGCTATGCTTAGAGCGGTAAATCGATCATCTGCGATCGCGTTGATGTCCACGTGCGGATTTTTCAGTAAGACATCGATGATAACTCGTTTACCGCTATACACAGCGCAATGTAGTGCCGTAAAACCATTTTCATTAGCAAAGCTGGGATTCGCTCCGCTCCGGAGAAGATCGCTGAAGAGTTTCGACCGACCACAGGTAGCTGCCGTCATCAGTGGAGTAAACTGAAGCTCATCAAGCGAGTGAACCAACTCCCTACCCGCTTCCGAAGCGAGAATGTACTGTACGAATCGAGGTCGGTCAAGCTGAATAGCTTTGTGAAGTAGGTTTTGGACTTGGTAACCGAATCCGTACTCTTCGTGCAGTTTGACGAATATTTCCAAGTCGATACTCTGCAAAGATCCAACAAGCGGATTATTCCGTTCGGGGCATCGGTCGGTATTTTCATCGATTAGGTAGGGAAGCAGCTCTAGATTACCAAGCTTGGATGCGATCCATAGTGGGTTCCACTTTGTCACATTGACATGGGCTCCGTTTTCCAACAGCAAACGAACGATATCTGAATATCCGTACCGAACGGCAAGGGCCAGTGGGGTTTCCCCGAAGACATTCACGTTATTGATCATGGTTCGGCGTCTAGCAAGGAAGAAGCGTACCGCTTCTAGATCACCACGTAAGACCATCCAGTGGAGTATCGTGTTGCGAAATCTGGAATCCACGAGGAATTGTTCGATCGATAGAAACTCTGTAACTTTTTGAATGGATGCGATCGAGTAGCTTCTCAGTATCCGTTCGACTTCTTGCTTGTGAAGACTTCTTTTGGCGTTTGGATTGGATTGCAATTGTTCGATCAATTCGAAACGGATGGATACGGTGAAACAAAACATGTGTGGATCATTTAGAAGTTGGCGGATCATTCTTCGCAGTTTACAATCGATGGGAAGGCTCAACAGCAATAGGAACAAGTTCAGTTCGAATGACGAATTTCGTAGATGCTCGATGAATGTGCGCGGTTGACCGTTCAGAGCGATCGTAAGAAGGTCGTTGTCCAGTTGGTTACGTTCGAAAATGTGGATGTTGTCGACCCGGGCTAACCGTCTCAGGGACTCGATATCGAAGCTCTCAGCGGCTGTGAAGTATTCCTGTTGTATGTTAATCCATTTCAATTTATGATTGAAGAAGTGGTCGAACTTATCATCGGTGATCTTCGTTGGAATAGTTGACTTGTGGTATAGTTTAATTGGGTGACGAATCAGGTATAGAGCAGAATATTCGATCGCCGATGACGTCCCCGTCAGGACTTCGTACGCTAAGCGATCGTGAGCAAGGTAGTTCCTAAGATTGCGACCTGTGATCACCGGAATCAGTCCTTTCAGCGAATGCAAGTTGTCTTTGAAAATGCCTAAGCTACAGAGGATCTCACAGGCTTCCAGCAGATGATATTCCAAAGCAAAGCGATCATCTGGGGTTAGCTGTATCGATATCAATTCTTCTGGTCTTCCATGCTTAACGATGATCTTCCGTATTGAATCGATTATTGAATCAAATTTCTGCTGAAATCGACCTTCATCAAGCAATCTCAACTCTTTAAGTCTAGTTTTGAGCTGTTTCAAGCCGGTTCCAACTCGTCGATCCTTGATCACCTCATTCAGTACGTGATACTTGTTGTTGAGATCGAACAGATTCTGGTAGTACTTCTTCTTCAGCCTATTATTCACCATTCGAACGAATTCTTCGTCGCCAATTGCTACACCCAAGTCACTCAATGTGCTGATCGTCTCCTCCAAGCATTGATCGGCTGGAACAACTGTCTGATGCTTTAACGATTCTATAGCCGTCGTATTCTGCCTGACCAGTCGCTTCCATAGCTCTTCGAGAAGAATTTTCTTCTGTTGATCGGTCTCGCGTATTATAAGTCGCGCGATCGCGTCAGCCGATACCATGGTGGACGCTTTATCTACGCTTGCATACCGTTGAGCTCGAGCAGTCTCTTGTAGCATACATCGCAACAGGGTTCGAACTCTCTCGATGGCAGCCGCATCCTGTTGGATGTACATTTCCAAAAAGAAAAACTGATCGATGGTATGCCCGATCGTCGCCACGTCATTTCGAATGGAATTCCTGTAAATTGTGAGCACGTGAAGAACTTTTCCCAATTCCAATTTCTCGTCTCCATCGTGGGACCGCTCGATCAGATGTTCAACCAAGACTACCGCGTCGTTCGAATCGCTGGGTTCAAAACGTGAAATCAGCTGGGACTTAAACTCCATCCCGATAAATTTCACATACGATCGCATCTGATCGAGACTTTGCATCCTGAGCAACCGACCCAGGTATTGACGGAAGACGTGAGTATTCTGGAGAAATGATACATACGACAGCCATCGAAGGCTGGCTTTGAGAGTGCCGAGCGTCGATCGGAATAGCTCCAGTGGGCAGTCTCGATCTAGACGATCCTTGGCCAGTGAATAGTCATGGCTGAAGAACTGTCGTAGTTCTTTCGCCAATGCGACGAAGGATTGCGCCGGAAACATGCACAGAATGGTGTCCAGCTTTTTGGTGATGTTCGGTGTCTGCTTTGAAGATTTGATCGCTTCACCGATGGACTGGAGGGCACGTTTCAAAGCTGCGATCGATGTGGGTAACGAAGATGGGTCGACCAGGGTGAGGTTCTGAATGGTTTGAATGCTTGAGATGACCTTACCGACCGAGTAGAACTGCTTTGCTGTATAGTAGGTCTTCAGGAGGGATTTGAAGTGCTTTCTATGGGTTGAGGTAATCCAGCGTTTCCGAAATGTGTCACAAATTTCGTCGAGTTCAGTGATCTGAGCGGGGTCGAGTTGTTCAAACTTTTCAAACGATCGCAATCGCTGTAGTGCAGAGTGATTTGCAATTTTCTGTCGAACTGAAGTGAATATCTTGGACTGACCAGGTCCGGTGGTATGTGTCTTAAGGCCTTCAAACATCGCTTGAGCAGTTAACCGTTTCACATCCCAGTACTCGATGAATACTTTCCTGAACGACCCTAGGAAGTTGATAACAGCTTCTGAAACCAAACATGAAAAACTCAACACCATCCCGACGACATCTACAAATTCCTACCTTTGTCGATCATGAATCCGAATATATCGACTTTCTCGTTTCTGCTTCCCGTCACCGTTCTTAAGAAAACTACCAAACAGAACTGCAGCTGCATCAATGGCAGGTCTTTCAACCAATTTTTCAGAAAGAACACATGTTCCAATATTTGCCTAACGTAAAGCAAAAATCGCTCATCTATGTCGTCGAAACTACAACCGCCGCAGTGATGCGCTTCCAAGAACTCGATGCACTCCAACAGATGACGCAGCCTTCCCTCTCTCTCCTTCTCCAAGGCCATTCTGTTATCTTCCGCACTCGAACAGCGTTGATAGTCAGCTTCGACGAGCAAATATTGCGCCCAATCGTCGATTTCCGGTGACATACAAACGTTACGGGTACGGAGTTCGGCGAACGCTTGCGTCAATCCCAACTGCATTTCCTTCCAACCATAGCGGCTTTCAATGATTTCTGAGAAAGTTTGAACCAAGCGAAGATTTCCCCTCACAAGAATCCTTCGAAATCCTTCCACCGTCGAAAGATCCTCACATTCCGTTCGTATCATTTCGACGAACAACGGTCCTTCCGGGTTCAATGATAGTGCCAGCTCGCTTGGTGTCAAGCCATCCGAGTTCTGGAACAGGCAGTCGTCTCTGTCGGATCGTATCCGATCGATGACGGTGTCAATAATGGATTGATTCCCTCCGTTTGAGAGCGCCTGCCGAACCGTCCGGTGTAGTTCTGTTTCGTAAAATTCAATGGACATCTTGACGGCTCAAAGCGTGAACTTGAACTGAGCGAATGCCATCGACGCTGATTGATATAGATTGGTGGGTGAGTCATAAACTAATGCACGACGCTGGGGGGCGACGTTTGAATGGCGAGCCGGGGGACGGATGGGGGAATACCCTTGCCCAATGCATTGAATACCGCGTGGAGTTGTTTTTCATTCATTCTGTTTTGCTCGCTACATCCATCGTGCATCGTCGTACTGCATAAACCGGTATGTATAGATAGGGTGAATGGATTTACAGCTGAATGGTTTTGTTGGTTGTGAGAAAAATTAAGCAATGTTGCGCTCCCATGCAACGCATAAAGTTAGCGAATTTCGAAGGATATGGGACTGTTCAGCTAATAAAGGCAGTTTATAGAATGGACACTAGAGCCACAGACAAACAGACGTTACTCTTCATTCTGATTTGAATATTATCATTTCCGTGGACTAGGGGAAAGTGGGGCAGCTTGGCCACATTAAGAAAATCATCACTAATGATACCAAATTCAGTGGAAAATTCGAATGGTACTTAACCAAATTAATAGTCTCAAGCCCTACTTCATCATGAATATAAATTTAATATTAAAAGTCAAGAACAGCATGTGAAAAGGGCATAAACGATGTATATTATTTATATAGCTACTGAAGGAGTATTAAAGATTAGTGATAAGAAACTACTGATAAACGTTATTTTCTGACCGTAACAAAAACAGGCTTGTTGATCGTTGTCATAACAACCACATATTTAATTATAATTACAAATTTACAGCGTTTGGTCAATTAGAACCAAAGTTAGAGCCATCCCCATATAAACTTCAAACCGTTTGCGCGACCTCTAAACCTTTATAAATTTTTACCATTTTAGCATAGACTCATATTTTGGGGTTATGAGTCAAACTGGAGGGTGACCTATTAGATTAAAAATACTTTTCTTTTTCAATATGAAGCACCCCAATGGGACACCTGAGGGTAGCCGTTAGGCTTCAGGAAAGTGCCAAGACATTCCCGGTTCTACAACCTCTGGAAATAACGAAAAGCCTTCCTTACTGTACTGTTTGAAACAATCAGGAACTTTCGAAGTGATGAATAGTCAAGATTTTTCGGGAAGTTCTGTGACAGCTGGAATTGTTGGAAATTATTAGAAAGCTTTGAAACTTCTGAATCACCATCTTGAAATTCCTGGAAAGGTGTTACCCATGTGGATGAACTACTAGACCATTCTGAGCGTGCATTAAAGATTTTCTAGGAAGTTCAGGGCCGATACCGGGTAATTTATTGGTGACTTAGTAACTTTTTTGTAGGCGGTCAGTTCAAAGTCCCTGTTTTCGACAAAAAGTCATTAAAGCCCCTTTTTTTCGTCGCTTGCAATGCCTCTGTAGGCTTAGTTTCTATTTTAAAATTTTATAAAATTAATTACTTTTACAAAAGAAATATCCACAGCATTGAAATCAGTACAGACAGCATTCGTTGCGTTGAGGCGAAACCTCATCTCATCTGCCAAACGTCAATCGCTCGTTGGTATAGTTTTTAAGATGTCAAACTGTATTTTTTCATGCAAAACCGCTCACTAGATTATTCCCAAGTAACAACAATGATATGTCAAGGCTAATTTGACACAATTTCCTGAAGAGATTACTAATTGCTAAAGTTGAAGAAGCTAATTTCAATTAACAGACTAAAGTGGTAATTTTTATACGATAGATGAGGAGATGAAAGTATAGTATATAGATGAGGAGATGAAAGTCGACAATTACAGGAGCACATACCGTGTAGAGGTAACAATAGCTGCAATTTCCAAACCTACGACTGGATGCCTTCCTTCAGATAACAACTTGAGTGTGGCACAATCGATAGAACTGTTTCAAACACAGCGTCGGTACATGAGCGAGTCGTTGATCATCTCTTTTTGCCAGCGGTAGGGGGGGGGGATACCCCTCACCATCCCCCTCCAACGGGGGAGTTTGGTAAAGAAAGATGATCAAACCGATTTGTACCTTCATAAAATTTGTCCTTGCTCGCTTTCTACTATCTATACACAATTTTCACACTGCCGCACCCTAACGGCACATGATGACAAGTATGACATATAAAACAGCATCACTGCTTTCAGTTGACATTTTGCCAAGCGTTGCTAAGGTTTACTACTTTGTTTACTTCAAAGTAAGGGGGAAGTTTTCTTTTTCAGTAGAACCTTTTTTGTTGATTTTCTAGCGAGGTTATCCCAAATCATAATAAAAGATTGCACAATTGACGAGACTCTCCGCGCCTTGGGGATGGAATCACAGAACAGATAGGTAACATGGGAATCAGAAACGGAGCCATTTAAATTTCAATTGGTAGTGACACCTAGCGGTGGAGAGAACGCTTTTTACACTCAAAATTTATTTACACTTATACCACCTTTTACCATTTATACCAAACATACCCAAGATTCATATATTGAAAGGTGTGTACACTTCTGTTGGTGCTTATGTATAGAGTGTCTTTAGGAAAGATGAGAAAATCTTATATATTTTTTAGATTATATGCTTTTTTGAATTCTTCTTCTTCTTCTTCTTCTTCTTCGAATTTAAACTTATTGCTTATTGCATATAAGCTTATTGCATGCTCTGAGCTTATGTCGTTTTCGTTTTTGCGGTGCAGCACTGGTGTAGTGTAAGCAGGAATAAGCACGAGTCTTTGACAGCTCAGATTACTTCCTACCCACAGATTTCATCAATGCTTCCTGCAAAAGCAAAGGGTAAGTAAAATGCTAACTGTGGAGTGAGACGTACGATACGATCTAGTACGATTATCATAATTCCGTACACTTTGATATTCAAAAACACAATAAGAATAAGACATATCCAAAGTTTAACGATAGGAGATATTATCATCAGCGGGTATTTATTTGCATCATGTTCCAATGTATTGTTCTGCAAACAATTAACACTCTAAGACTTAATTTACCCCCGTTGCGATAAAAGGGAAAGAAGTGCCGAAGCTGACATTCCCCCTAATTAAAAAATATCCAATCTTTCATTCATCCTGAATTCTCAAAACTATATTCAATACACATGCAGATCGCTCTACCTATAGGAATAGAAAATATCTTGGGTTGTGAGAGGATATGTCGAAGGAATGGCAGGGAAACTCTCTTTACTCCAATGGCATTTCTCATGGCCGTGTGCGTTTGTGTTAAAAAGCAAAACATCTTCCGTCTTTCACTTTTTATGCGTAAAAACCGTCGTCCAGAAAAAGTGAAATCATAATGCATTTCGTCGTAGAAAAAAATCGTTCCATTCACGACGGATGACCCCATTGTTTACGATTTATGAGAGGGAAGGCGAATACGAGCTTATCAGTCATGTAGCATATAGTAACATGCCGTCTCTTTTGTTCTTTCAGTCCTCCTGGTAGCAGTTAGTGGGACACTACACTCGATATATATATAGGCAACTCAGTGGCGCCTTGTTGCTAGTTTTCCCAGACTTTCCGATTCTTTACGTGTGTAATAATATTTTTTGCATTCCTTTGCTTAACGCCTTTGATGTTTTGATCGAATAATTCAATGAAATAATTAAATAAATGTTGTCATGTTTCTTTTACATGTAACATTTGAATGCTCATCAGTACATAGTGGCTTTAGCATTTTTGAATCCAAGGTTTGTTGTGTACTAGGATTTAATATTTTTCTTTCAATCTGGCATTGCTGGTACTAGTATAATGGACAACAAGAATCGTACAGTACTATCCTAATATTTTGATCGTATGAATCAAATGAAAACTTTACCGTTTTATTAAAGTACGTTAAATTATTTTTTTTTACTAAAGATTACTAGTATTGAAAAGCCAAACGCAACGGATTATAATTATATTATGCATGGACAGCTTATTTGACACATGATCTTTATTAGCATATTTGTATAGCATTAGCTTATTAGTGGACATAAAACATTTGTTTCATGCGAAATTAATGGAACGCACCCTAATTACACGCAACAGAACAACGGCTCTCTAAACAAATCTTTACACTTTTAACATTGAAATCAGTGGTTATGTAAGGAAATTGGTTTAGTTTTGTTGCTATTGATTCGTGGAGCTTTGCTTATTTCTTAGACAAATATTGCATTTTTTTTTAATGTGCTATGAAACTTTCAGAAATTTTGGTTGCAAAATAAGAAAGTTATTTAATTTTTTGAGTTTGTGGTTGAAGCAAAATAAACCGTTTAGAATTGTCTCCAAAAAAAGTGCACAGACAATAACAGTTGTAACTTTTTAATCATCGTTTTCAGAGAAGATTATTGTGTACATAGTGCAATTTTTTGACGATCTAGAAGGTTTTATACCAAATTACAATGGAGTGAACACACTTCTCTCAGAAAAATTCAAAAAATAATAAATTTATGCGGAACATTTACATATATACAGACTTCGTTTAATTAACCCCATTTAATAATAAAAAATAAAAATAAAACTTGTCAATTTGACTGATTACTCACCTGTAACGGAAATTTGAATATTTTACGACTTATTTAGATGTTCAAAAATTCAGTAAAATTCTACCGGTCTCATATATAAAATCATCGGTTGCAAGAAAATTAGTGGATCATTGATGCTTTTGATTTGGGTCTTACCTATTTTTGCAGGTGAATGAGATGTAATTCAAAATATTGTGCAGTTTCTTTCATGTTTCATAGTTTTATAATCTGTAACTTGAACAAAGAACATACCGAATTAATAAAACATAGTAAAATGTACTATTTTGCACCTGTAATGGGAATGCGTTATGGTCAAAATCTAGGGGTGAAAATTATCTCAGAAACTCATAAAAATATAATTTGAAAAATATTTTCCATGAAAATTGAGAAAAGTTGCAAAGAAAAACCGAAAGAACCATTTTCTAAGTAATCAATTTTTTTTAATATTTTTTCGAAGGATAAGTGTGACAGTTTTTACCCCTAGTTGTCATCTAATTGGCCCTATTTTGAATTTCAGATTTTTTCATTCATTATATTATTTATTTCGCTACAATGTTAGAGCACAAAACTGGAGCATTAGTTTTAAAACTGACACACTTACCCTACTTGAAGATTTCTTATCTTTCACTGGTGAAAAGTTCAGGATGGATTCTTTTATTTTTTGTGTTAAGATCAAAAATCTAACTAATTGAAAATTTGAATATAAAACATTATTTTTACAATGCCACCCTCAAGGTAAAATTGCAAAGCAAGTGACGAATGTAAAAATCCGTAAACTTGTGGGCAAAGTTTCTAAAAAAAAATCTGAGACTCCTCTTTGGCACAAACCTGCAGACAGATCTTTTGAACCATATCATTTTGTCCGCGCACGGACTTTAAACTTTTACGTTGCGTTTTCGTTGTTGTGTAGTTGAATTGAACAAATAATACACCAATTGTTTGACCATACCTTGACCGAACCTTATTATTATTATCATACAGAGTCTGAACAGTAAGTAGCATAGTTGTACATACATACATAGTT